TCTGCAAGTTGTTCGTCTGATCATTTGTACATAGTATGTCGTCAACATAACCTCGGTGGAAACGTAGGTCCGGGATGATCGATTTTAATGGGCCATCCTATAACTTTCCCATATATATATATATATATATATATATCAAGTAATAGTGGTCCGAGAGGTGATCCCATCGCTACGCCATCTACTTGTCTGCATAATTCATTGTGGAATTGGAATTGGATGTTATACGTGCATCTGAGAAATAGCTGCTTTAACTCGACTGTTGGTATCTCAAGCTGGATCTTGTGCTGCTCAATGTAAGTACAAAAAGGTTGACCGTTTCTAACAGTGGGACATTCGTGAACAGAGATACGACGTCCAGAGAAAACATTCGATAGTCTAAGATGTCCATGCTTGTAACGTTTTCAACAAACTGGAAAGTGTCCGTAAGCTAATGAGGGGCTATCCTTTTCCTAATAAGAGCCAAAATAGACCTTAACCATTTTGCAATGCTGTGATACGGTGAGTTCCTCATTTCCAATATCGATCGTAAAAGTGCATCCGGTTTGTGTACTTTTGGGAGACCTTACAGTCTAGAAATTATGGAGCAGTTGGGTTTTAGACTTTCATATCTTTCTTTACTCATATAGCCATCATTGACCAGCGATTTCAAATACCTTGCAGTTGTGATTCTGTGTAATCTGTTTTGTCCTTCACACACTCACATCGTACAAATTTGGATGAGTCCGACAGGGTAATTTTCATTTTTTGCACGTATTCCATGCGGTCCATGATCACGGATCCCGATCCTTTATCTGGTTTGAGGATCATGATCCCTTCGTTTTACTGAAGTTCTCTAATAGTTTCCAGGTGTGTTTTTGTTAGTAATAGTGGTATCGCTGATACTGAAAGGAAATGTTGACCAAGTCTGACTTAACTTGTGCGAGGCTGGTGTTGAAAGTGGCTACAAAATCACTTATCTGGTTGTTAAGCTATTCAAATTGTGTTTCGATTTCTAGCCCGTGATCATTACTTCTGGTTGTACAGGACTGATCATGTATCATTGAAAACAATTTTTCACTTCCGGCCGCATGCTTTTGTTACTTGAATGAAAAGTTCCAAGTTGTCGAGATGTTCCTTCCCTTGAATCCCGGTCAATTTCATCGTTGAAGTGGACAAGTTCTCGGCACAGTTAAATAGTCGAACTAGGAACCATTGCTGGCAACATTCCCTCATGTCTGGCGGAACGGAGCTCTAGCGCAATATCGATAAAAGTATCATCTTTCGGTGGGACACACCGGTGTATCTGCGACTCTGGTTGCACGTGTGCCTCACCGCAGCCGCGTAATTTTGTGGTCTATAAGCGATGAGGATGACATGCCTTTTGTTCGCTATTTATTCATTCGGCCACCGTGTTGACGGACAGCATGCGTGGGGATAGGCGATCAACCGTTATACCAGGCACTTGACTCCTCGGGCACATATGGTACACGCTGGTTGTTCGGTGCCGGGAATAGCCATTTATGTCTTAATGTTGTCTGGGCTAACTCCGTACCGTTTACTCTAACCAGACATCTATGGTGCTTCTTTGGACAAGCGCAGTCAAAGAAAGAGGAAGCGTTGCACCTCATTAAGTGAAAATTGGACCCAGCTGTGAGAAGTACACTAGTACCGTGCTTTCACTGTAAATTCGCACAACACACTTTAGGCCGGCAGAAGCACAGTATGTTGAAGACATTTTGACGCTACGTCGTTGGTGGACATCACTGTGTCATGATGTGCCAGCAGAAACATTGTAACTGCACAGAGTGATGGGACAGTGGATTAGTTTGGGCTGTTTCTGGTAATAACATATACTTGGATGGTTGGTGCAAATGTCTTCAGCGACAAGCATTTATTCTGCAAGAACACATTAAGAAAAATCGCAAAACCTTTGGCACCTCGAAAACCTGCATGTGTAATATCCGTGCGCTTTCAAAAATAACGAACTTTCTGGGTACTCAACTAAATAAACGACTTGGGGTTTTACTTTGTCTGTGCACCATATGAAGTTCGACAGGATAGGGACTGAAACACAGTTTGAAAATTTGTACGATCAGCAGTCCAATTTCGAACCAGCCGCCGACGACGTTTGCAGCTGGTTTAAGGCCAAGGCGGTGGATTTAGTTAACCAATTTTACGTTGCAGAAACCGAACAATGCAGCATTTTAACAAAGGATTACTGGGGATCACTGGCCACGGCGCAGAAATGAAATCGTGCTAATGCTGAAACCTGACAAGGAGAGGTCACTATGGAAAAACAAGCTTATGTTCAGAAAATAGAAGCCACGCTCGCAGAGTGTAGCCGCTTCGTTCATGACGTGACAGGCCAAGATAAAGCCGAACTCGTTGAAGAGTCCATAGCTCGAAATGTAATTATCCACTGGAAGTTGGATTGAGTGACACGCAAACCATGACAAAGCTGTGCCTACATGCGTCGAAACTTCCGCACATGTATGAATTACCAAAGACACATAAGGAGGGCTTTCCTATGCATCTAAATGGTAAACGTGCCGTATCAGAGGTTGGCACCTTGGTTAGCCGAGCTAATCGAACTTATCCGGCCTGAGTTAGCTAGACATACCCTCCAAGATACATTTGAATTTGTCGACATAGCTGGGAAGTATTTGATAGCGTTCGATTTATACTCACCGTTCACCAACGTTCCATTAGAAGAGACTTTAGATAGCGTCGGTATTCATGTTGACAAAATGGGGCTTCCAACAAATCACGTAAGTCCTTATTTCGATTGCACACGAAAGACATTCAGTTCCCATTCAATGGAATAATTTACTGTCAGATCGATGGTGTTGACATGGGCATGCGGGTTTTGAGCTGCTCTCCGAGCTGAGTGATTATTGTGCAGACGTTTCGTTGCCTGACTAGGCGACATCATCAGTGCGGATTCAGGGGCCTGGTTCGCAGTGTCTCGCAAGCGACTTCAATGTTCAATTGCTTATTGATCGAGTTCTGTTTGGAATGCCAAGCTTCAATGAACTCACGTGCTTGCCGGCTTTTAGCGTTTCCGAGGATGCTGGCATGCTCCAGTTGACATGGGCAGTCCACTTGGGCCAGTCCTGGTAGATATTTTCATGAGGCGCTTGGAGAACACCAAACTGCGTCCTTACATCCAAATTGTGCGATCGTACAGTAGATAACTTGACGACACCTTTGTTGTGCTTGATACTGTACAACAGGCGGAGTACCTGCTTAATGTTCTTAACAAATGCCACTCTGCGATCCAATTCACGATGGAAAGTAAAGTGAATAGCTTCATACACTTCTTGAACGTTTAGTGTTACCCGAAGTAACCGGGGTTCGCCGTAGTGCAACGCGTTTGGGTGGCGCGAGATTCTTCTTAATTTCGTGGGATTAGCATGGACACCGATCGACGTGCAGATGGAACGCCACTGATTTCGATCGTCCGTCAACTTAACCTTAATTGTATTGGATTTGCATTCGGGGACGTTAGTGCATACAATGTTTAGGACATCATGGTTGCGCCTGGTGGCTACTGGTTTTGGATTTCGAGGCTGAGTATCCGGTGTTTTTGTTGAATTTGTGAACGGCATTGGTGTGTGCCATCCGTGCTGCGGCAGTTTTGTTTTCTTTAGTCAGGGCACAAAGGTTACCGGTGCTCTTTCCGGTGTTCACTTGGCGGCAACCGATGCCTACGATTCCGGGTTGTTCACTATTGCTGGTTGACTGTAGCTTACAGTCTCAAGGGTAGCGAACAGACTACTAGGTGCAGCACACAGTACAGAAGTTGAGGCAGGCGCGCTGCAGGCACTGTTATTACTTATAGGAGGGAGAGAGAATGGAGTTGATACTGCTGGAGGCTGAGTCGTTGGGGTTCGGTTGGGATGCCTGGCTCGCTTCTTCGGCCTGACTAGGGAATTCGGGGTGTTATTTTCACTCACAAGTGCAGGTCCGTTTCTTCCCATAGGTATAACTAGGCCGCTCACCAATTGCTCGACAGCTTCGGTTAGTCTTTCACACCTCTTCAATAGCACAGATAGACAGCTAACAAATGGAATAGACTTGTATACTTGGCAGAACCAAAACGCCTCTGCGGTGTTTGCTTTTGTCGATCCCTTCGCAAGGCAGGTAGTGTGATAGGATTTCAAAGACATGGTACACACCAGGACACTTTTTACCACTTTAGCACATGATTGGCATTTGCGCTTCATACGAGACATGTTCTCAGTAGGGGGTGCTGTTTTAAGGGGTAGAAAGAGGATAGCGATACTGACGCACCGTTGCGTGGCGATCGGCGCTGGTTTGAGGTCAGCAGGTCCAGTCGTGTCGCAGCCAGATGAGTCACACGTTCCTTAGGGTAGGCGACGTGCGTGCTATCGATCCAGCTGGTAGAGGGTAGACAGCGATGCGACGTAGGACTGAGGCAAAGCAAGGTGACTTGAAAATACTGTCTAATGATGGCAGTGGCAGTTCCAAGGGTGAATCAAATTGACGACTATCGCTTTGTAGAACGACTTGAAGGAATGGTAGTAAGCTGATCGGGTGACTCTCAAAAAGATCTTTATAATAAGACCACAAGAGTTCTTATGCGACGAGAGGAAAAATAAAACTTCCGATAGGGTTCAAATACGATTGACTTCGAAGTTGCGAGAGCACAGTTTCCTGGTGATCCGTGAATGATAGATCCAATAGATGAAAAGTGGTAGGAGGAGCTCGCGGAGCCAAATCGAATGATGGCACGTAGGTCTCTGTGAGGATAAATCCAAAGATTTGGAGGCGAATCACGAAGGAGGACAGTCTTTTTGCGACCGCTCGACACACACTATACGTATACAGCTGATGAGAATACCCGAAATACTCCCTGCGCGCAATACGGGGGGGGGAGGGGGGGGGGGGGGGGGGGGGGGGGGGGGTGGAGGGGGGGGGGGGGGGGGGCCACGCTTGAACAAACCAACCCCAAATACCCTTCCGGTCCCACCGCCATACCCACCGCCCCCGGTTTCCCTCTACCCACCCCCCCCACCGCGCCCCCCGCGACCCTCTTGACGAGATGCCACCGACCTGGTGTCCCCCCCCCCCCCCCCCCCCCCCCCCCCCCCCCCCCCCCCCCCCCCCCCCCCCCCCCCCCCCCCCCCCCCCCCCCCCCCCCCCCCCCCCCCCCCCCCCCCCCCCCCCCCCCCCCCCCCCCCCCCCCCCCCCCCCCCCCCCCCCCCCCCCCCCCCCCCCCCCCCCCCCCCCCCCCCCCCCCCCCCCCCCCCCCACCCCCCCCCACCCCCCCCCCCCCCCCCCCCCCCCCCCCCCCCCCCCCCCCCCCCCCCCCCCCCCCCCCCCCCCCCCCCCCCCCCCCCCCCCCCCCCCCCCCCCCCCCCCCCCCCCCCCCCCCCCCCCCCCCCCCCCCACCCCCCCCCCCCCCCCCCCCCCCCCCCCCCCCCCCCCCCACCACCCGCCCCCCCAACACCACACCTTTTGCTTGATCCCATACGTATACCGTCCACCTTTCTAATACCAAACCCCCCACCACCCACCCCTCGCGTAGGAAGATCAAGATCACCCTATATCCCACCACCTTACCGCACCTATACCCCCCCCTACCTAGGCCAGACGACAAAATAAAATACCCACCCCAGAACCACCACCCAATTCCCAGACTTCGATATCCGGGAAAGAACCATGTCATAATACCTGCCAACCCACCCCCTCATACCTCCCCCTTGACACCCCAGTGTGAGGTCTCGTACCTTCATAACCTACCCCATACCCCACCCTACCCCCTACCCCACCAATGATACAGGTATGCGATCCCGAGATTCCCCCCGCGCCTTCCACACCCCATGACAGACCACCAACCACCTCCTGCACCTAACACCGTTCTGAACCCCAAGTACGCCCAGTCACCACCGCCAATACCGCACCCTCAGCCATACCCCCCCAACCATGTCGACCGTCGGACCGTAATTCTTAACTCATGCGGCCCACCTTCACGCCAAAACCAAACCATAACCCCCCCCCCCCAAAAAAACCCCCCCCAGGGGGGGGGGGGGGGGGGGGGGGGGGGGGGGGGGGGGGTGGGGGGGGGGGGTGGGGGGTGGGGGGGGGGGGGGGGGGGGGTGGGAGGGGGGGGGGGGGGGGGGGGTGGGGGGGGGGGGGGGGGGGGGGGGGGGGGGGGGGGGGGTGGGGGGGGGGGGGGGGGGGGGTGGGGTGGGGGGGGGGGGGGGGGTGGGGTGGGGGGGGGGGGGGGGGGGGGGGGGGGGGGGGGGGTGGGGGGGGGGGGGGGGGGGGGGGGGGGGCGCACACCCAACCCCCCACGCACGGCCCGTCCGGGAACCGCCCACCTAGCGCCCCACGCTCGCCCCGGCGGCGACCTACCCCCGACCCCCCCTAGTACCCCAGCCCCCCCTCGCCCACACCCGGCGCCGGGGCCCCCCACACCGCGGCCCTACCCCAGACCAAACGCTCACCCCTACCGCCACCCTGTCGAGCTCCCCGCCCCCGCAACCGGCACCCCACCCGCGCCCCACGCACGTACGCCCCCGACCGGGAGAGCCCTCGCGGCGGACCCCGCGGGTCCCCCCTAACCGGCATCCCGACCCCCCACCACCCGACGCCCCGCCCCCCATGCCCCCAACCCGGCCGCCACCACCCTTCCCCAGCCCCGCCCCTACCGCGCTACCTGGCATCGCACCCCCAGCATTACCAGCTGACCCCCATGGGGACCCGGACCCCCCGTCACCGCCCTCCCCCATGCCCGCCCTCCACCACCGCCTAGCCGCCCCGCCCTGCGCCCACCCTTCTACCCCACGCCCCTATACCCCACCCCGCGGTGCGCCCCCCGCTAGCCCACCGCAGGCCCACGACCCCCGTCCACACCGCACCTACCCCCGGCCACGCCAGCCGCCGCCTTTTCGCGCCTACTGCCGCTAAAACCCCCCGCCTATGATATTCCCATTTGATCGCCCTCATATCCGCTGCCTGCTACCTCACCGAGTAAACCCCGGCCCTCCCCCGACCTAGCCAAATGTAGCTCCCCACCGCCGACGCACTCCCGTCATATGACGACCACCCGACTCTCTTGAAGGGCTAGTTGGTTCCGACCCGCTCTCCCATACCCTCGACGCTTCCCTACCTACCCCTGTCTTCGCCACTCTACCCCTTATGCAAGCCACCCTACGCAGGCGACCCCCACCGCGTCAGCACCCCCGACCCCTCCCCCCCCGGGCCGCCCACCCTGAACTCTACCGGCCTGTCCCGAATTACCGGAAATT